CATAGGTGAGAGTTGGAGCCACGGCAGCCCACAGCCACAGCCTAGGTGAGAGTTGGAGCCACGGCAGCCCACAGCCACAGCCTAGGTGAGAGTTGGAGCCACGGCAGCCCACAGCCACAGCCCAGGTGAGAGTTGGAGCCACGGCAGCCCACACCCACAGCCTAGGTGAGAGTTGGAGCCACGGCAGCCCACAGCCACAGCCCAGGTGAGAGTTGGAGCCACGGCAGCCCACAGCCACAGCCCAGGTGAGAGTTGGAGCCACGGCAGTCCACAGCCACAGCCCAGGTGAGAGTTGGAGCCACGGCAGCCCACAGCTACAGCCCAGGTGAGAATTGGAGCCACGGCAGCCCACAGCCACAGCCCAGGTGAGAGTTGGAGACACGGCGGCCCGCAGCCACAGCCCAGGTGAGAGTTGGTGCCATGACAGCCCACAGCCACAGCCCAGGTGAGAGTTGGAGCCACGGCAGCCCAGAGCCACAGCCCAGGTGAGAGTTGGAGCCACGGCAGCCCACAGCCACAGCCCAGGTGAGAGTTGGAGCCATGGCAGCCCACAGCCACAGCCCAGGTGAGAGCTGGAGCCACGGCAGTCCCCAGCCACAGCCCAGGTGAGAGTTGGAGCCATGGCAGCCCACAGTCACAGCCCAGGTGAGAGTTGGAGCCACGGCAGCCCCCAGCCACAGCCCAGGTGAGAGTTGGAGCCACGGCAGCCCACAGCCACAGCCCAGGTGAGAGTTGGAGCCACGGCAGCCCACAGCCACAGCCCAGGTGAGAGTTGGAGCCACGGTAGCCCACAACCACAGCCAAGGTGAGAGTTGGAGCCACGGCAGCCCACAGCCACAGCCCAGGTGAGAGTTGGAGCCACGGCAGCCCACAGCCACAGCCCAGGTGAGAGTTGGAGCCACGGCAGCCCACAGCCACAGCCCAGGTGAGAGTTGGAGCCACGGCAGCCCACAGCCACAGCCTAGGTGAGAGTTGGAGCCACGGCAGCCCACAGCCACAGCCCAGGTGAGAGTAGGAGCCACGGCAGCCCATAGCCACTGCCTAGGTGAGAGTTGGAGCTACGGCAGCCCAAAGCCACAGCCTAGGTGAGAGTTGGAGCCACGGCAGCCCACAGCCACAGCCCAGGTGAGAGTTGGAGCCACGGCAGCCCACAGCCACAGCCCAGGTGAGAGATGGAGCCACGGCAGCCCACAGCCACAGCCCAGGTGAGAGTTGGACCCACGGCAGCCCACAGCCACAGCCCAGGTGAGAGTTGGAGCCACGGCAGCCCACAGCCACAGCCCAGGTGAGAGTTGGAGCCACGGCAGCCCACAGCCACAGCCTAGGTGAGAGTTGGAGCCACGGCAGTCCACAGCCACAGCCCAGGTGAGAGTTGGAGCCACGGCAGCCCACAGCCACAGCCCAGGTGAGAGTTGGAGCCACGGCAGTCCACAGCCACAGCCCAGGTGAGAGTTGGAGCCACGGCAGTCCCCAGCCACAGCCCAGGTGAGAGTTGGAGCCACGGCAGCCCACAGCCACAGCCCAGGTGAGAGTTGGAGCCACGGCAGCCCAGAGCCACAGCCCAGGTGAGAGTTGGAGCCACGGCAGTCCACAGCCACAGATCAGGTGAGAGTTGGAGCCACGGCAGCCCACAGCCACAGCCAAGGTGAGAGTTGGAGCTACGGCAGCCCACAGCCACAGCCAAGGTGAGAGTTGGAGCCACGACAGCCCACAGCAACAGCCCAGGTGAGAGTTGGAGCCACGGCAGCCCACAGCCACAGCCCAGGTGAGATTTGGAGCCACGGCAGCCCACAGCCACAGCCCAGGTGAGAGTTGGAGCCACGGCAGCCCACAGCCACAGCCCAGGTGAGAGTTGGAGCCACGGCAGCCCAGAGCCACAGCCTAGGTGAGAGTTGGAGCCACGGCAGCCCACAGCCACAGCCCAGGTGAGAGTTGGAGCCACGGCAGCCCACACCCACAGCGGAGGTGAGAGTTGGAGCCACGGCAGCCCACAGCCACAGCCCAGGTGAGAGTTGGAGCCACGGCAGCCCACAGCCACAGCCCAGGTGAGAGTTGGAGCCACGGCAGTCCACAGCCACAGCCCAGGTGAGAGTTGTAGCCACGGCAGCCCACAGCTACAGCCCAGGTGAGAATTGGAGCCACGGAAGCCCACAGCCACAGCCCAGGTGAGAGTTGGAGCCACGGCGGCCCACAGCCACAGCCCAGGTGAGAGTTGGAGCCATGGCAGCCCAGAGCCACAGCCCAGGTGAGAGTTGGAGCCACGGCAGCCCAGAGCCACAGCCCAGGTGAGAGTTGGAGCCACGGCAGCCCACAGCCACAGCCCAGGTGAGAGTTGGAGCCATGGCAGCCCACAGCTACAGCCCAGGTGAGAGTTGGAGCCACGGCAGTCCCCAGCCACAGCCCAGGTGTGAGTTGGAGCCATGGCAGCCCACAGTCACAGCCCAGGTGAGAGTTGGAGCCACGGCAGCCCACAGTCACAGCCCAGGTGAGAGTTGGAGCCACGGCAGCCCACAGCCACAGCCTAGGTGAGAGTTGGAGCCACGGCAGCCCACAGCCACAGCCCAGGTGAGAGTTGGAGCCACGGCAGCCCACAGCCACAGCCTAGGTGAGAGTTGGAGCCACGGCAGCCCACAGCCACAGCCTAGGTGAGAGTTGGAGCCACGGCAGCCCACAGCCACAGCCCAGGTGAGAGTTGGAGCCATGGCAGCCCACAGCCACAGCCCAGGTGAGAGTTGGAGCCACGGCAGCCCAGAGCCACAGCCCAGGTGAGAGTTGGAGCCACGGCAGCCCACAGCCACAGCCCAGGTGAGAGTTGGAGCCATGGCAGCCCACAGCCACAGCCCAGGTGAGAGTTGGAGCCACGGCAGTCCCCAGCCACAGCCCAGGTGTGAGTTGTAGCCATGGCAGCCCACAGTCACAGCCCAGGTGAGAGTTGGAGCCACGGCAGCCCACAGCCACAGCCCAGGTGAGAGTTGGAGCCACGGCAGCCCACAGCCACAGCCTAGGTGAGAGTTGGAGCCACGGCAGCCCACAGCCACAGCCCAGGTGAGAGTTGGAGCCACGGCAGCCCACAGCCACAGCCTAGGTGAGAGTTGGTGCCACGGCAGCCCACAGCCACAGCCCAGGTGAGAGTTGGAGCCACGGCAGCCCACAGCCACAGCCTAGGTGAGAGTTGGAGCCACGGCAGCCCACAGCCACAGCCCAGGTGAGAGTTGGAGCCACGGCAGCCCACAGCCACAGCCCAGGTGAGAGTTGGAGCCACGGCACCCCACAGCCACAGCCCAGGTGAGAGTTGGAGCCACGGCAGCCCACAGCCACAGCCCAGGTGAGAGTTGGAGCCACGGCAGCCCACAGCCACAGCCCAGGTGAGAGTTGGAGCCACGGCAGCCCACAGCCACAGCCTAGGTGAGAGTTGGAGCCACGGCAGCCCGCAGCCACAGCCCAGGTGAGAGTTGGAGCCACGGCAGCCCACAGCCACAGCCCAGGTGAGAGTTGGAGCCACGGCAGCCCACAGCCACAGCCCAGGTGAGAGTTGGAGCCACGGCAGCCCACAGCCACAGCCCAGGTGAGAGTTGGAGCCACGGCAGCCCACAGCCACAGCCTAGGTGAGAGTTGGAGCCACGGCAGCCCACAGCCACAGCCCAGGTGAGAGTTGGAGCCACGGCAGCCCACAGCCACAGCCCAGGTGAGAGTTGGAGCCACGGCAGCCCACAGCCACAGCCCAGGTGAGAGTTGGAGCCACGGCAGCCCACAGCCACAGCCCAGGTGAGAGTTGGAGCCACGGCAGCCCACAGCCACAGCCAAGGTGAGAGTTGGAGCCCCGGCAGCCCACAGCCACAGCCCAGGTGAGAGTTGGAGCCACGGCAGCCCACAGCCACAGCCCAGGTGAGAGTTGGAGCCACGGCAGCCCACAGCCACAGCCCAGGTGAGAGTTGGAGCCACGGCAGCCCACAGCCACAGCCCAGGTGAGAGTTGGAGCCACGGCAGCCCACAGCCACAGCCCAGGTGAGAGTTGGAGCCACGGCAGCCCATAGCCACAGCCCAGGTGAGAGTTGGAGCCACGGCAGCCCACAGCCACAGCCCAGGTGAGAGTTGGAGCCACGGCAGTCCACAGCCACAGCCCAGGTGAGAGTTGGAGCCACGGCAGCCCACAGCCACAGCCCAGGTGAGAGTTGGAGCCACGGCAGCCCACAGCCACAGCCTAGGTGAGAGTTGGAGCCACGGCAGCCCACAGCCACAGCCCAGGTGAGAGTTGGAGCCACGGCAGCCCACAGCCACAGCCCAGGTGAGAGTTGGAGCCACGGCAGCCCACAGCCACAGCCCAGGTGAGAGTTGGAGCCACGGCAGCCCACAGCCACAGCCCAGGTGAGAGTTGGAGCCACGGCAGCCCACAGCCACAGCCCAGGTGAGAGTTGGAGCCACGGCAGCCCACAGCCACAGCCCAGGTGAGAGTTGGAGCCACGGCAGCCCACAGCCACAGCCCAGGTGAGAGTTGGAGCCACGGCAGCCCACAGCCACAGCCCAGGTGAGAGTTGGAGCCACGGCAGCCCACAGCCACAGCCCAGGTGAGAGTTGGAGCCACGGCAGCCCACAGCCACAGCCCAGGTGAGAGTTGGAGCCACGGCAGCCCACAGCCACAGCCCAGGTGAGAGTTGGAGCCACGGCAGCCCACGCCACAGCCCAGGTGAGAGTTGGAGCCACGGCAGCCCACAGCCACAGCCCAGGTGAGAGTTGGAGCCACGGCAGCCCACAGCCACAGCCCAGGTGAGAGTTGGAGCCACGGCAGCCCACAGCCACAGCCCAGGCAACGTTGACTCGCTTGCACAAAAATAGTATAAACACAGTGAATCAAGCCCAGTGTGTGGGCGATACATTGTGTGGGCGATACATTGTGTGGGCGATACATTGTCAGTGAAGGATCACTTTATATTGCACTTGTGTGTGTTTTTTTTTCCCTTGCCGTTTATCACCTGGTGTCCTAAACCTGTACGGGTCATAGAGCACTCGGTGATTCGAGTGAACAGAAGACAATACTTTTAACCTATCATGAAGGATGGGGAGATCATAGTGGCAGTGGTGACCCCCAGGAAGAAGCGGGAGACCAGCAGGAGGTACAACCATGGTGTCGTCAGCAGCACTACCATGCCCAGGGTAGTGCCCAGTGCCCCCATCCTCACCGCCCATCGTCTGCCAAACCTGCCAAACGTCCCTCTGGTTAATGCCACCGTTCAAACAGAAAATTATAGCAAAATAAATTTGTTACTCACAGTCTCCGTGAGGAGTGACTTAGTTAATATGAACCATAGATGGTTCACGGTACAACGTGAACCATAGATGGTTCACGGTACAACGTGAACCATAGATGGTTCACGGTACAACGTGAACCATAGATGGATCACGGCACAACGTGAACCATAGACGGATCAGGACACTACGTGAACCATAGATGGATCACGGCACTACGTGAACCATAGATAGATCACGGCACTACGTGAACCATAGATGGATCAGGACACTACGTGAACCTTAGATGGATCACGGCACTACATGAACCAAAGATGGATCAGGACACTACGTGAACAATAGATATATCATGGCACAACGTGAACCATAGATGGATCAGGACACTACGTGAACCATAGATAGATCACGGCACTACGTGAACCATAGATAGATCACGGCACTACGTGAACCATAGATGGATCAGGACACTACGTGAACCAGAGATAGATCACGGCACAACGTGAACCATAGATCGATCAGGACACTACGTGAACCTTAGATGGATCACGGCACTAAGTGAACCACAGGTGGATCAGGACACTACGTGATCAATAGATAGATCACGGCACAACGTGAACCATACATGGATCAGGACACTACGCGATCCATAGACGGATCACGTCACTACGTGAACCATAGATGGATCACGGCACTACGTGAACCATAGTCAGATCACGGCACAACGTGAACCATACATGGATCAGGACACTACGCGATCCATAGACGGATCACGTCACTACGTGAACCATAGATGGATCACGGCACTACGTGAACCATAGTCAGATCACGGCACTACGTGAACCATAGATGGATCACGGCAATTCGTGAACCATAGATGGATCACGGCACTATCTGAAACACAGATGTATCACGGCACTATGTGAGCGACAGATTGATCACGGCAATACATGAGCCATAGATGGATCACGGTACTACGTGAACCACAGTTGGATCACGACACTAAGTGAATTATACATGGATCACGGCAGTACTTGAACCAAAGTTGGATCACGGCACTAAGCGAACCATAGATGGATCACGTTTCTATGTGAACCACAGATGTATCACGGCAGTATGTGAACCACAAATTGATCACGGCATTACGTAAACCATAGATGGATCACGACACTATGTGAACTACAGGTGAATCACGGCACAATGTGAACCACAGATGGACCACGGCAGTATGTGAACCATAGATGGATAACGACACTATGTGAACTACAGTTGGATCACGGCACTACGTTAACCTCAGATGGATCACGGCACTATGTGAGCCACAGATGGATCACGGCACTAAATGAACCACAGATGGATCACAACACTATGTGAACCACAGATGTATCACGGCACTATGTGAACCACAGATGGATCACGGAACTGTGTGAACCATAAATGGATCACGGCACTATGTGAGCCATAGATGGATCAAGGCACTAAGTGAACCACAGATGGATCACGGCACTATCTGAAACACAGATGGATCACGGCACTATGTGAACCATAGATGGATCATGGCACTATATGAATCAGAGAATAATCACCGCACTACATGAACCATAGATGGATCACGGTACTACGTGAACCAAAGATAGATCACGGCACTATCTGAAACAAAGATGGATCACGGCACCATATGAGCTATAGATGAATCACGGAACTATGTGAACCACAGATGGATCAAGGCACTATGTGAATCATAGCTGGATCACGGAAGTACGTGAACCACAGATGGAACACGAAACTGCGTGAACCACAGATGAATGACGGCACTACGTGAACCATCGATGGATCATTGCACTATGTGAACCACAGATGGATCACGTAACTGTGTGCACCATAGATGGATCACGGCACTACGTGAACCATAGATGGATCAAGGCACTAAGTGAACAATAGGTGGATCACGGTACTACGTGAGCCATAGACGGATCACGGCAGTAAGTGAACCATAGACTACAGTTAGAAAACATCTTATCTCCCTGATACACCCCGTCAACAAACTACATGATAACCACCTGGTGGTTCACTCTTACACTCACTCACCTACTGACTATAAACACAGAAATACGAATCTTAATCTTAAAATAATAAATCCTAACTAGTCATAAGTTTGCCTATGATACTCCAATATAGTCACTTAGCCTTAATACCATAATCTGTAATAATTTAAAGTTTAGAATTAATCTAAGTCTGCCCGAAATGTCTAGCCATGCTAGGTGTCCTAGTGGCCCCCTCTGTAATTAGTATTTTACAACATGTAAACCACACAATATTCAAAATCTGTAAACCCCGCATTGTAATCTTTATAGAGAATAAACTTTATTGATTGACTGATTGATTGATAGATGGATCACGACACTATGTGAACCACAGATGTATCACGACACTATGTGAACCATAGATGTATCACGACACTATGTGAACCATAGATGGATCATGGCAGTATGTGAATCAGAGATGGATCACCGCACTACATGGACCATAGATGGATTACGGTACTACGTGAACCACACATGGATCACGACACGCCGTGAACCAGAGGTGGATCACGGCACTATGTGAACCACAGATGGATCACGGCACTACGTGACCAATAGATGGATCGCGGTACTATGTGAACCATAGTTGGATCACGTCTCCATGTGAACCACAGATGGATCACGGCAGTAAGTGAAATATAGAAGGATCACGGCACTACGTGGCCATAGATCGATCCCGGCACTAAGTGAACCATAGCCGTATCACGACAATATGTGAACCACAGATGTATTACGACACTATGTGATCCGAAGATGGATGAAGGCAGCACATGAACCATAGATGGATCACAGCTCTACGTGAAACTCAGATTGATCATGACACTTCGTGAATCATAGATGGATCTCGACACTATGTGAACCACAGATGGATCACAGCACAACGTCAACCACAGATGGGTGACGGTACTATGTGAACCATATATGGATCACGGCACTATGTGAACCAAAGATGGATCATGGGTACTACTTGAACCATATATGGATCACGGCACTAGGAGTACCATAGATTGATCACGGTACTTCAAGAATTGTAGATGGATCACGACACTACGTGAACCACATATGGATCACGACACTACGTGAACCATATATGGATCACGACACTACGTGAACCATAGATGGATCACGACACTATGTGAACCATGATGGATCACGACACTACGTGAACCATAGATGGATGACGACACTACGTGAACCATAGATGGATCACGACACTAAGTGAACCATAGATGGATCACGACACTAAGTGAACCATAGATGGATCACGACACTACGTGAACCATAGATGGATCACGACACTATGCTCCTGTTGGGGATGTTGGATGATCAAGTCACCTGTGAGCAGTGTAGGCGGAGACAACGAAGCCGAGGAGACAGCCCAGAGTGTAGAGGGTCTGGTAGAGTGGTGCCAGAGGCTCTCTCTTACACACCAGGTCCCACTGTTCGCACATGAAAAAAAAGCTTTAACATCAAATTCATAACCTATGTAAAAAAAATATATATCTTACTTTCAGCATACTCTGAAAAAAAATATGAAAAATATTTTATAAATTCTACGAAGATACCGCTGTCGGCCTCTATTCTCTAAAACAATGACATGCATCCCAGGACGACCTGGGATGATAACACCTGCCTTATCTCGGCATATCTCATGAGAGGAGTAACAGCAACTGATATGAGGGGTGAGGGCTGATATGTTGGTGTGTGAGCTACAGAGGTGTGGAGATAATATGTTGGTGTGTGAGCTACAGAGGTGTGGAGATAATATGTTGGTGTGTGAGCTACAGAGGTGTGGAGATGATATGTTGGTGTGTGAATTACAGAGGTGCAGAGATGATATGTTGGTGTGTGAGTTAAAGAGGTTTGGAGATGATATGTTGGTGTGTGAGTTAAAGAGGTTTGGAGATGATATGTTGGTGTGTAAGTTAAAGAGGTGTGGAGATGATATGTTGGTGTGTGAATTACAGAGGTGCAGAGATGATATGTTGGTGTGTGAGTTAAAGAGGTTTGGAGATGATATGTTGGTGTGTGAGCTACAGAGGTGTGGAGATGATATGTTGGTGTGTAAGTTAAAGAGGTGTGGAGATGATATGTTGGTGTGTGAATTACAGAGGTGCAGAGATGATATGTTGGTGTGTGAATCACAGAGGTGTGGAGATGATATGTTGGTGTGTGAGTTACAGAGGTGTGGAGATGATATGTTGGTGTGTGAGTTACAGAGGTGTGGAGATGATATGTTGGTGTGTGAATCACAGAGGTGTGGAGATGATATGTTGGTGTGTGAGTTACAGAGGTGTGGAGATGATATGTTGGTGTGTGAGTTACAGAGGTGTGGAGATGATATGTTGGTGTGTGAGTTACAGAGGTGTGGAGATGATATGTTGGTGTGTGAGTTACAGAGGTGTGGAGATGATATGTTGGTGTGTGATTACAGAGGTGTGGAGATGATATGTTGGTGTGTGAGTTACAGAGGTGTGGAGATGATATGTTGGTGTGTGAATTACAGAGGTGTGTAGATTATGTTGGTGTGTGAATTACAGAGGTGTGTAGATTATGTTGGTGTGTGAATTACAGAGGTGTGGAGATATGTTGGTGTGTGAATTACAGAGGTGTGTAGATATGTTGGTGTGTGAATTACAGAGGTGTGTATGATATGTTGGTGTGTGAGTTACAGAGGTGTGTAGATATTGTTGGTGTGTGAATTACAGAGGTGTGTAGATATGTTGGTGTGTGAGTTACAGAGGTGTGTAGATATGTTGGTGTGTGAATTACAGAGGTGTGTAGATATGTTGGTGTGTGAATTACAGAGGTGTGTAGATATGTTGGTGTGTGAATTACAGAGGTGTGTAGATATGTTGGTGTGTGAATTACAGAGGTGTGGAGATGATATGTTGGTGTGTGAGTTACAGAGGTGTGGAGATGATATGTTGGTGTGTGAGTTACAGAGGTGTGGAGATGATATGTTGGTGTGTGAGTTACAGAGGTGCAGGTGTTAGTTGCTTGTGGTTTACTGAAGTGTAACAGAAAGTTATATACGTGTGACACGGAGTTGCAGAGGTGTGACACTGGGTTACAGTGTTATACTGGGATAAAGAGGGGTGATAATGGGTTACAGAGGTGTTACACTGGGTTACAGATGCGTGACAATGAATTGCAGAGGCGCATCAGTGAGTTACAGTGACACTGAGTTAAGGAGGTATGAAACTAGGTTATGGAGGTATGACACTGGGTTATGGAGGTATGACGCTGGATTATGGAGGTATGACACTGGGTTACAGAGGTATGACATTAGGTTATGGAGGTGTGGCACTGGGTTTTAGAGGTGTGACACTGGGTTATTGAGGTATGACACTGGGTTATGGAGGTATGATGCGGGGTTATAGAGGTGTAACACTGTGTTACAGAGGTATGACAACGGGTTACAGATTTGTGAATCTGGGTTACAAAGGTATGACACTGGGTTACAAAGTTATGGCACTAGATTATGAAGGTATGACACTGGGTAATGGAGGTATGACACTGTGTTACAGAGGTATGACATGGGGATATGTAGGTGTGACGCTGGGTTACAGAGGTATGACATTAAGTTATGGAGGTGTGGCACTGGGTTTTAGAGGTGTGACACTGGGTTATGGAGGTTTGTCACTGGGTTAGAGAGGTATGACATTAGGTTATGGAGGAGTGGCACTGGGTTATGGAGGTGTGACACTGGGTTATGGAGGCATGACACTGGGTTATGGAGGTATGACACTGGGTTATGGAGGTGTGACACTGGGTTACAGAGGCATGACAACGGGTTACAGAAGTATGGCACTGGGTTACAGAAGTATGACACTGGGTTACGGAGGGATGACACTGGGTTACAGATTTATGACTCTGGGTTACATGTTTGTGACTTTGGGTTACAGAGGTATGACACTGGGTTAAAAAGTTATGACACTAGATTATGAAAGTATGACATTGGGTTATGGAGGCATGACACTGTGTTACAGAGGTATGACACTGGGTTACAAAGGCGTGGCACTAGGTTATGAAGGTGTAACACTGGATTATGGAGGCGTGACACTTGGTTACAGAGGTATGACATTAGGCTATGAAGGAGTGGCACTGGGTTATGGAGGTGTGACAATGGGATATGGAGGTATGACACTGGGTTAGTGAGGTATTACACTGGGTTATGCGGGTATGACACTGGGATATTTAGGTATGACACTGGGTTATGGAAGTATGACATTGGGTTACAGAGGAATGGCACCGGGTTATGGAGGTATGACACTGGGTTATGGAGGTATGACACTGGGTTACAGCGGTATGACACTGGGTTACCGAAGTATGGCACTGGGTTACAGAAGTATGACATTTGGTTACAGAAGTATGACACTAGGTTACAGTGGTATGACATTATGTTACAGAGGTATGGCAATAGGTTATGGAGGTAAGACAATGGGATATGGAGGTATGACACTGCGTTACAGAGGTGTGATACTGGGTTGTGGAGGTGTGACACTGGGTTACAGAAGTATGACACTGGGTTATGGAGTTGTGACACTGGGTTACAAAGATATGATACTGGGTTATGAAGGTGTGACACTGGGTTACAGAGGTATGATACTGGGTTACAGAGGTATGATACTGGGTTACAGAGGCATGACACTGGGTTACAGAGGTATGACACTGAGTTATGGAGGGGAGACACTGGGTTATGGAATATAACACCCGGATTATGGAGGTATGACAATGTGTTATGGATGTATGACACTGGGTTATGGAGGCGTGACACTGGGTTATAGAAGTTTGACACTGGGTTCTGGAGGTATGACACTGGGTTATGGAGGTTTGACACTGGGTTATGGAGGTATGACACTGGGTTACAGTGGTATGACATTTGGTTATGGAGATGTGGCACTGGTCTTTAGAGGTGTGACACTGGGTTATGGAGGCATGACACTGGGTTATGGAGGTATGACACTGGGTTATGGAGGTGTGACACTGGGTTACAGAGGTATGACAACGGGTTACAGATTTTTGACTCTGGGTTGCAGAGGCATGACACTGGGTTACAAAGTTATGACACTAGATTATGAAGGTATGACACTGGGTTATGGAGGTATGACACTGTGTTACAGAGGTATGACACTGGGTTATGGAGGTGTGACGCTGGGTTACAGAGGTATGACACTGGATTATGAAGGTGTGACACTGGGCTACACAGGTATGACACTTGGGTACAGAGGTATGGTACTGGGTTATGGAGGAGTGACACGTAGTTACAGAGGTATGATACTGGGTTACAGAGGCATGGCACTGGGTTACAGAGGTATGACACTGAGATATGGAAGTGAGACACTGGGTTATGGAATATAACACCCGGGTTATGGAGGTATGATACTGGGTTATGGATGTATGACACTGGGTTATGGAAGCGTGACACTGGGTTATAGAAGTTTGACACTGGGTTCTGGAGATATGACACTGGCTTATGGAGGTTTGAACTGGGTTATGAAGGTATGACAGTGGGTTACAGTGGTATGACATTAGGTTATGGAGGTGTGGCACTGGGTTTTAGAGGTGTGACACTGGGTTATGGAGGCATGACACTGGGTAATGGAGGTGTTACACTGGGTTAGGGAGGTGTGACACAGGGTTACAGAGGTATGACAACGGGTTACAAATTTGTTACTCTGGGTTACAGAGGTATGAAACTGGGTTACAAAGTTATGACACTAGATTATGAAGGTATGACTCTGGGTTATAGAGGTATGACACTGTGTTACAGAGGTATGGCACTGGGTTATGGAGGTGTGACGCTGGGTTACAGAGGCATGACACTGGGTTATGGAGGTGTGACACATAGTTACAGAGGTATGACACTAGGTTACAGAGGTATGACACTAGGTTATGGGAGTGTGACACTGAATTATGGAGGTGTGACACTGGGTTACAGAGGTATGACAACGAGTTACAGAAGTATGGCACTGGGTTACAGAAGTATGACACTGGGTCACAGAAGTATGACACTGGGTTACAGAGGTATGACAACGGGTTACAGTAGTATGGCAGTGAGTTACAGAAGTATGACACTGGGTTACGGAAGTATGACACTGGGTTACAGATTTATGACTCTGGGTTACATATTTGTGACTCTGGGTCACAGAGGTATGACACTGGGCTACAAAGTTATGACACTAGATTATGAAGGTATGACACTGGGTTATGGAGGTATGACACTGTGTTTCAGAGGTATGACACTGGGTAATGGAGGTGTGACGCTGGGTTACAGAGGCATGACACTGGGTTATGGAGGTGTGACACGTAGTTAAAGAGGTATGACACTGGGTTACAGAGGTATGACACTGGTTTATAGGAGTGTGACACTGGGTTATGGAGGTATGACACTGGGTTACAGAGGAATGAAACTGGGTTACGGAGGAATGACACT